CCCCAGATCACCATTCATTTTTATTAGAAAAGAGCAGCATGAACTTTTTGATAAATCTCCTTTTCTGTTCCAAGCAAGACAGATATGGGTTTGAAACAACAGGACATTAAGTAAATGATAGAATTGTCAATTTTTGGACAAAATTTTGGAGGTCTTGATTTTCCAGGCAGCAAACAGCACTTCCCAACACTCAGCTGGATGTTTACTATAGATTTACAGAGAAAGCTGTACCCTAAATTCAAAGACCACAATAAATACTTTCCTGAAATAGCATTTTCAAGTGACATTATGCGAGGACCTCATTTGTGTTTCCTCTCAATCATAATTATTAGACAGGAGATAATTAACATGTGCTAAGTGTTCAAATATGTCAACATTATAAAAATACAAAGTTTTTGTCAATTATTATTTTCTACTTTTGCCATTTAAAAATTCGACTTCATTATTTCTACAACATAACTCATTATGAGTTTAATGAGAATGACTCTAATGACTTATTTTTTGTTTTTTTAACATCGAGTGCATCTCTTTTCTAGCAGCTCAGGAACCCATTATTATTTTTCCATTTCATCTAAATTGCTGGAAATTAAACACTCATTTCATGAACCATTATTCTTGTACTTTGTTACAATAAAAGCAAGTTTATAAAGAGAAAATAAGGCAATACTTAATGAATACCTGATCCTCACAAAAAAAACTGCATTACTTAGTCAAAGCACTTTTTTCAATGCTGACTCACTTTTCTAGTCTGATCAAAACATCACTTTTTTGTATGGACCCAAAGGAGAACCTGTAATTAAATTAACCATCAGCGCCCCCCTAAGGTGAGCAGCAGACTGTAAAAAGGATGTAGGATTTCGAGAAAAAAAAAGAAACAAAATGAATCAAAATAGAACAGTTTCATTGCTATTTTGCCATCACATTTACTAAACAATATCTTTGACATTTGTATGCACAATTATTCTATTTTTAAGTGCTACAATTTACAGTATGATGATGTTTACATGTAAACAAAAAGGCAATAGGACAAAAAGTGTCACTAATGCAGATACAGTAGTGGGTTATTGGCTTGATTTGAAGGATTTTGAATATCATACATTAGATTAATCATAACACCGGTGTAGCCTCCGTTTTTCCGTCTGCAGTAACCAGCTGCATCAGAGTACCTGAAGGAGGTCTGTTCTCTCCTGTAGTCCACTTATAGAACAGCCTAGAATACAGGAAACAAATCATGCTTTAGTTCACACACACACTACATACTAAAGATGCTCCCAAACACGCATACTTACTCTGATATGTACTCCAGCGGTGTCCAGGAACTGACATCACCATCCGGCATGAACTTTCTATTCATGGGTGTATCCAAAGTCACTCTAAAAGTAGTAATTATTAGTTGTCTTTAAAAACAAAAAGATTTGCACGGATGAAAATGAGTTACTATATCGTCATTCCTTACGGAAGCATTGCTACTGCAGCAGATCCTGGAGGAAGACCACTATTTGGTGCGCTCAGACTCTGACACAACTGATGAACCGCTGCCTTTGCCATGCCATAACCAATGCATCCTACAATGACAATGAGAAAGAACACACACGCACACATAATATATATATATATATATA